CTTTCTAGTTTTTTTCCTTTTTTGGGGGGGGGGATTGGGGTCTTACTCTGTCACCCAGGTTGGAATATAGTGGCACATTCAGGGCCACTACAGCCTCAACATGCTGGGTTCAGGCGACTCTTCCACTTCCAGGTAGCTGGAACTATAGGTGTGTGCCACCACACCTGGCTAATTTTTTTTTTTTTTTTAGTTGGAGTCTCACTCTGTCACCCAGGCTGGAGTGCTGTGGCATACTCAGGGCCACCGCAGCCTCTACCTGCTGGGCTTAGGTGATCTTTCTGCCTCAACCTTCCAAATAGCTGGAACTAGAGACACACACCACCACGCCCAGCTATAATTTTTTTTTATTGACTGTAGAGATGAGATCTCGCCAAGTTGTCCAGACTAGTGTCAAATTTGTGGGTTCAGGTAATCCTCTCACCTCCACCTCCCAAAGTGCTGGGATTACAGGAATGAGCCACCACACCTGGCTTTTTTCCAGCTTTTCCTCTTACCAGTAAGGCTGCCATGAACATGTGTGCACAGGCCTTTGTGTGGATATGTATTTTCATTTATTTTTTTTTTTATTTTTTGAGTTGGAGTCTCACTCTGTCGCCCAGACTGGAGTGCAGTGGCCGCTCCCAGCCCCCGCAGCCTCAACCCGCTGGGCTCCAGCGATCCTTCCGCCTCAGCCTTCCAAGTAGCCAGAATTACAGGCGTGTGCTACCACGCCCGGCTGATTTTTTGATTTATTGTAGAGACGAGATCTCACTGCCCAGGCGGGTCTCGAGCCCGCAGCCTCAGGCAATCCACTCACCTCAGCCTCCCAAAGGCGCAGGATTACAGGCTGAGCTACCGAGCCCGGCTTGTATTTTCATTTCTTTTGGGTAAGTCCACTGGGGTGAATTGACTGGGTTGGAATCTGTGGTGATTATTCTTCTGTTCCAAGTGTTGACTCCACACCTAGAAGTGTCACCTATATCTTCTTTTTGCTCACCCTGACCAATTTAGTATTGTAGTATTTTTATTTTCAAATGATCAAAAGGTCTAGTATCTTACAAATAAATGACTGAGAAACAAACATGAGATTCTAGTCTACTAGTTCTCTCTTCTCCTTGGAGTGTGCATGACTCTCAGCTACATGGGAGGGTGCAGGGCCTCCATGGAGTCCCACAGTGCCAAGGCCATTTCACCCCCAGGAGGTCACAATCAGCATGCAACCACACACTGAGGCCCGTGGTGGGAGCATGGGGACAGGCAGGGGGTGGGCCACCAGCACACACCTGAAGTAATGATTCTCTAGTGGTGGGATTTCAGAGGCCAAGGTGGGTGTGGCTGGGCTGGGCATGGGCAAGGGTGGACACACTGACTTTGGTCCTGAGAGTCAGCAGGCCACAGGGATTCCAGAGGCCATCAGAAGGGGCAGCAGTCCAGAGACGGGGATCCTATGGAGACGAGGTCCTCATAGGAGAGGTGGGTATCCCATGGAGATAAGGCCCTTCCAGAATAGACAGGGATCCTGTGAAGACGAGGCCTCCCAGGAGAGATGGGGATCCTGCAGAGAAGGGGGCCGTCCTAAGAGAGACAGGGATCTCCTGGAGACGGGGCCCTCCTAGGACTCCTAGGAGAAACAGGGGTCTCGTGGAGAACCTGTCCCTACCTTTCACTACTGTCTGCCTCTTTATCCTAACCTATCTTCGCTTTTATCCGTTAAAAAAACCAAACAAACTGAAATTCACGTTCCTTTGAGAACTTTTTTCCTTATGATAAAATACATGTAACATAAATGTTACCATTTTAACCGTTTAAGTGTATAATTCAGTGACATTAAGTACCTTCACAATGTTGTGCAACCATCATTACTGTTTCTGGAACTTTCCATAGCTCCAAGCACTCTGTGCCCATTAAGCAGTAACTCCCTGCTCTCCAGCCCCCAGCCGTCACTTTCCTTTCAGTCTCTCTGAATTTACCTGTTCCAGGCACCTTCAAAAATCCAGTCATGTATGCTTCTTCTTTTGTGCCTGACACTTCTCTGCGCATAATGTTTTAAAGATCCATGCATGTTGTGGCATGTGTCAGAAGTCCATTTACTTTTATGTCTGAGTAATATTCCACCATATGAATCCACCTCATTTGTCTAACCGTTCATCTGTTGACATTAGGACACTTGTTCCACCTTTTGGCTGTTTTGAATAACACTGCTGTAAACATGGGTGTGAAATTGGGTGTGATGGCTCATGCCTGTTATCCCAGCACTTTGGGAGGCAGAGGCAAGAGGATTGTCCGAACCCAGGAGTTCGAGACCAGCCTAGGCAACTTGGCAAGACCTTATCTCTACAATAAATCAAAAAAATTAGCTGGGTGTGGTGGCACACACCTGCAGTTTCAGCTATTTGGAAGGCTAAGGGGGAAGGATTGCCTAACCCAGCAGGTAGAGGCTGCGGTGGCCGTGATCGTGCCACTGCACTCCAGACTGAGTGACAGAGTGAGACGCCTACTAAAATATATACATACATGAATCCTTCACATCTCCTTCCACACTCACGGATATCCTAATGTGTATGAAGTGGCGTCTCATGTGATTTTGATTTGCATTTGCCTAGTGATTAATGATGATGAACATTTCCTCCTGGTCATTAGACACATGTAGATCTTTGAAGAAATTCAAGTTCTTTGTCTGTTTTTAAATTGTGTTGTTTCTTTGTTGTTGAGTTGTAAGAGTTGTTTATATATCCTGGATATTAATCTCTTATCAGATATATTAGCTGTAAATATTTTCCCTATTCTGTGAGTTATCCTTCCTTTTTGAGTCAGATTTATTATCTGAGTACCTAACCCATAGGCTAAGAATATGTGAAGCGTGAAGTGTTATAATGAAAGCTATATGCTATTCTAATTCAGATTTCATGAAAAGGGGGGAAATCTATAAGCTACACAGTATTTGGACATAAATAAGCTATTTATAATAAATGTATTTAAAGCTACATATATAAGTATAAATACACAGGTATATACAAGGGAGGACCTCCCCCCCAAAACCCAGAATTACCTTGTGGAGGGTGGGCACCTTATAGTAAGGCTTCCCCTGCTAGGTAAGTGTTCTAGGAACCCATCTGCATCAGCTAGAGTTGTGAGAGGCTGCGTTTGGCTTCAGTGAATTTGTTTTTGGAGATTCTTTCAACACACTTGCTCATTTCATGACGGGTGATTGACGAGCGACCTGCCCACACTGTGTTGTGTTCAGAAGTTTTTGATCAAAAATGCCACTGATCCCTGTGCCCCACCCTCCCCATTCACCAGATCTCTTTCCAAGTGACTTTTTTTGTTCCCTGGATGAAAAAAGTCCTCAAAGGGAAACATTTTGCTGATGCGGAAGAGGTGAAACAAAACATGGCAGAAGCACTAAAAGGCATCAAAATGGACAAGTTCAAAAACTGTTTTGAGCAGTGGAAAAAGTGTCTCGATAGGTGTCTTGCATCAAACTGAGAGGCCTTTGGAAGTGACTGAAGTTTAAACATGTAAGAATAAATTCACAATTCTCTAAAATAAATTCCGTTTTGGGCCCCCCTGTATAGGGTTTTTTGGCATTTGATTTTTTTCACTCAGTGTAATCTTCCAGAGGTCACTCAGCTGCATCACTAGGTAGAATTGATCTTTCGAGCTGGAGAATTGCATGAGCCCAGGAGTTCCAAGCCAGCTTGGGCAACATGGTGATACCTCATCTGCACAAAAAGTAAGAAACTTAGCCTAGCATGGTGGTGCCTGTAGCCCCAGGTACCAGAGAGGCCGGGACAGGAGGATCGCCTGAGCACAGCAGGTCGAGGATTCGGTGAACTGTGATGGTGCCACTGCTCCCCAACCTGGGCGGCAGAGTGAGACCCCTTTTCCCAGCCGCAGGCCCTGGCGACACCTGGAAGGTCCCCAACCTCCTGCACACTCCGCTAAGGTGGAGCCTCTGACCTCCTAGGGACAGCCTCACGTGCCACAGAAGCAGAGGCCGGGGCAGGCACGATCCCCATGGTCCCCGTGGTCCCTGGAGGGTCCCGGGGGAGGCGCCCGCCTCGTGAGCCGCAGGAGAACATTCCAGCAAAGGAACGGAGTTCACAGACGCTTCTGGAAGGCAGGAGGTCGGAGCAGGAGCGAAGACACGGACGGGAGACCCCAGGCGGTGGGTAGCGCGACTGCAGGGGAGACCTGGGAGAGATTTGCGTGCGAAGGTCGGTGTGTGTGTGTGTGTGTGTGTGTGTGTGTGTGTGTGTGTGTGTCTCCTCCTGTCGCCCACTACCTCCACCAACTGGGCTCGATCCCCACCCTAGTGTGTGTGTGTGTGTGTGTGTGTGTGTGTGTGTGTGTGTGTGTGTGTGTGAGTCTCCGCCTGTCGCCCACTACCTCCACCGACTGGGCTCGATCCACCCACCTCAGCCTCCCAAGTAGCTGGAACGGCAGGCGAGCTATTGTAGAGACGGAGTCTCGCCGAGTTTTCCAGGCTGGTCTCCAGCCGGTGGGTTCAGCAATCCTCGCGCTTCCGCCTCCCAAAGTGCTGGGATGACAGGCGTGAGCCCTCGCGCCCCACTTCTTAACCCACGGCCAAGTAAATAAGGGTCGCTCAATTAATCAGGAAACAAAAAACGGATTAAAGAAGGGACCAGGAAAAGAGCAAGCGAGCAGGTTCCACCGAGATTTGAACTCGGATCGCTGGATTCAGAGTCCAGAGTGCTAACCATTACACCATGGAACCGCTTCGAAAAAAGGCCCACCTCCGGTCCTAATCCCGGCGAGCCGACCATCCACAGCC